AAAAAAAAAAAAAAAGAAATGTACTCATTATCTTGCCCATGTAATTGTAACCCTTCTGTACGGTATTTTCACAATAAAAAAAAGGAAAAAATAAAATAAAATCATAGCAGTATTGTAGTGACATATTTTACATACTTCCTTTATTTTTCGTACTTCTTTTACATCTTGTAATTTGAGTCATTTCCAGAAAATTCCATTTTTTAAATCCCATCTAATATTATGATTTAAAAGTTTTTTTTGGGGGGGGGTCCAGTCATGGGGCCTAAACTCTGGCCCTGGGCGCTGTCTCTCAGCTCTTCAGCTCAAGGCTAGCGCTCTACCACTTGAGCCACAGTGCCACTTCCGGCTTTTTCCTTTTTGCTTATGTGGTGCTGAGGAATCGAACCCATGGCCTCATGCATGCAAGGCAAGCGCTCTACCACTGAGCCACCTTCCCAGCCCAAGTTTTTTTAAAACAGTAAGCCAATGTTTAGTAATAAGATAGCTACTTTAATACTATTTTTATATGAAAAAGAAAGTATGTTATATATTGATAGGGAAGTCAGCTTCTAGTATCTCCTTTTCTTTTCTTTTTTTTTTTTTCTTTTTTTTCTCTGGGTTGTGGGGCTTGAACTCTGGGCCTGGGCTCTGTCCCTCAGATCTTCAGCTCAAGGCTTGTGCTTTACCACTTGAGCCACAGCACTATTTCCAGTTTTCTAGTGGTTTCTTGGAGATAAGAGTCTCACAGACTTTCCTGCCCGGGCTGGCTTTGAACTGTGATCCTCAGATCTCAGCCTCCTAAGTAGGATTACAGGCATGAGCTACCTATGCCAGCTAGTATCTCCTTTTCAATTGATATGAAAATATAGTTAATCCAGTTAGAAGATTGGATCCTAAATTTTAAAGTCAAACATGAGTTCAAAGTAATCTAGAAATCAAAAATTGAAACTTAGAAGAGTTTTAAAGTGAGGTACCAAGGGCTCAAAATCTGGAAGCAGGCTGTATGTTATTGTTACAGAGAATAATACCCCAGCCTTGACATTTTATACTTGTATAACAAATGTGATGTTCTCATATCCCAGAGAGACTCTGTAGGTTTGCTTTATGACTATACTATTGCTGGGCAAGACACTATACTTCCATAAACAAAATAGACACACTGAAACTTACTATTTCATGTTAAATGTCAACTCAGGTTTTACAATAAAGTGTTGTAACATATACGTTTTCAGGCCCAATTTCATTTATTTCAGTGGATATTTAAGTCAATATAATTTCGGTATGAAAAAAGAAAACCCTTATAATGGGATTTTAATCCAAATAGTTTTTAGCTAGTCCTCTTTCTATACGTTGATTAATTTTCATGAGTTTCGTATATTAGCTAGTCCTCTTTCTGTACGTTGATTAATTTTCATGAGTTTCGTATATTACATCTAGGAATTTAGTAACAAAAGTTTTCAAACATATTTTGGGTCATTACTTGACAGAAAAGAATTAAACCAGCATGAATATCATTCAGGATTTTCTGCCTTTTTAGGGAGAAGAAAACTGTCACACTTAACCTGTTTCCTTGATAGTGTAGACTTAGTCATCTTAGCATTCTCTGTGCTACAAAGTTATTTGGCAGCCGGGCACTGGTGGCTCATGCCTGTAATCCTAGCTACTCAGGAGGCTGAGATCTGAGGATCACGGTTCAAAGCCAGCCTGGGCAGGAAAGTACATGAGTCTCTTATCTCCAATAAACCACTCAGAAAACCAGAAGTGGTGCAGTGGCTCAAGTGATAGAGCACTAGACTTGAGCTGAAGAGCTGAAGGACAGCATTCAGGCCCAGAGTTCAAGCCCCATGACTGACCAAAAAAAAGTTGTTTGGCATGTAGTGCTTGCTCAGTACCTATTTTTGGAACAAATTCTATGTTGGACATATAAAATAATCCTGTAGCTGGGTGTGGTAGCACAAGCCTGAAATCCCAGCATTTGGAAAGTGTTAGCAAGAGGATCACCAGTTCAAAGCCAGCCTAGTTTACAAAGCAAGACCTTGTATAAAAAAAAAAATAAAGTAAAATTAATAAATAGATTATTTGAAACCCAGTTTATACTTTTCCTTTTTCTTTTTAGATTTTCTCAACTGAAGGGCCTGAATTTATCTCATAATAAACTTGGGTTGTTTCCTGTATCATTATGTGAGATTTCCACCCTGACTGAGCTCAACCTTTCCTGTAATGGATTTCATGACCTGCCAAGTCAGATTGGCAGTCTGCTAAAGTAAGTATCTGACTTTTTACTAAATTCTTCTTTTCCCTTGGATATAAGGAACTTATATGTCATTTGGAGTGAAGGTAGTGTCCTAAGATTTGGCAGTGAACTACATGTAATTATTAGGATTCTAGTCAGCAGTAGTTTTTGATGTCTGAAATCTCCATGTCAGTAGCAATGATCAGTCCTCTATTTCAACAGCAGAGGCCTGACTCTTTAATATCGAAGAGCCCATCCTTGGATGTTATGTTCAAACCACCTGTCTCTGTGGATTTAGAGTTAGGATGTCTGTGAGTCCAGAGTTATGATGTTTTGCCACTGTTGGATTCGTAATAAATTAGTAACATAAATCAGAATCTGTAACTCTAGTTTTATGTATTTGAATGAAATCTTTGATTGAATAGGCTTGTTTTGGTTCTTTTTCCCCCCAGTCTTCAAACACTCTGTCTTGATGGCAACTTTCTGACTACTTTGCCTGAAGAACTGGGAAACCTGCAACAGCTTTCCTCCCTGGGAATTTCCTTCAACAATTTTAATCAAATTCCAGGGGTTTATGAGAAACTCACGATGTTAGATAAAATAGTTATGGCGGGAAATTGCCTAGAAGTCTTGGACTTAGGGGTGCTGACTAGGATGAGCAATATCAAGCATGTGGATTTGAGGTGAGTTATTCTTTATCAGAGCTTCTTTTGCCTGGACTTCAGCTATTAAAGTCTTCTCTTTACAAATACTTCTTTAAAACATTAGGATTTTATAACAGTGTAAAAATATTTTCTTTTTTAATATATATTTTTTATTGTAAAGATACTATACAAAGGGGTTACAGTTACATGAGTAAGGTAATGAGTACATTTCCTATCATGCATTGTTACCCTTTCCTTTGTTTTTCCCCTACCATCTCCCTCCCTTCCCCCACCCTCCCACTGTCCTTGCCAAAGCTATAAAGTTCGTTTTCAACATAATGTCTTGTTCATCTCATTGTTACAGTGGGTCAACCTGTATCCTTATTTCAGCATTTTGTTATTTCCCTTCCCCTCCTCAAATTAGAAAAATGTATATACAAGATTCAGGGCACTGGAATCAAATACAGTGAAAACAGGGTTATACCATGGAGGAAGAACATACAAAAGATACAGAAAAATCACATTATAAGTACATTGAAAATAACAGCAACAAAGATAAAACCTCTTGTGTCCCTATCTTGGGGTTCATTTTGTTTAGCATCATTTTTATTATTTTTTTAATTTATTGGTAGCACTGGGTTTGAATTCATGACCTTGTGCTTACTAGGCAGGTGCTTTACCATCAAACTACACCTTTTTTTTTTTTTTTTTTTTTGCCGGTTGTGGGGGCCTGAACTCTGGGCCTGGGTGCTATCCCTTGGCTCTTCAGCTCAAGGCTAGCGCTCTACCACTTGAGCCATAGTGCCACTTCCGGCTTTTTCTGCTTATGTGGTGCTGAGGAATCGAACCCAGGGCCTCATGCATGCAAGGCAAGCGCTCTACCACTGAGCCACCTTCCCAGCCCCTCAAACTACACCTTTAGGTGTTATAAAACTTCATTTGTCATTCATTAGCATTAAGGATCAAATAGTTTTATCACATGATAGATAATATCAAATTGCCTTTGAAGAAGATTATCCTTACTTAAGGCAACATTTTATGAGAATTCCCATTTCCCCACATATTGTGTTTCAATTGTTATTAGAATATAAAACATACTATATCAGCCCTGCTGGTGGCCCACTGCTATAATCGTAACTACTGAGGAGGCTGAGATCTGAGGATCCAGCTTGAAGCCAGCCCAGGCAGGAAAGTCTGTGAGACTTTTTTTTTTAAATTTTTTTAAAATAAAATTTAAAATAAAAATTTTTAAATAAAAATTTCGCTATTTATTTATTTATTTAATTTTATTTTTTGTTGGTCATGAGGCCTGAACTCTGGGTCTGGGTGCTGTCCCTCAGCTCTTCAGCTCAAGGCTAGTGCTCTACCACTTGAGCCACAGTGCCACTTCTGGCTTTTTCTGCTTATGTGGTGCTGAGGAATTGAACCCAGGGCCTCATGCATGCAAGGCAAGCACTCTACCACTGAGCCACCCTCCCTCCTTTTTTTTTTTTCTGTCAGTCGTGGGTCTTGAACTCTGGGCCTGGGCGCTGTCCCTGAACTCTTCAGCTCAAAGTGAGCACTCTACCACTTGAGCCACAGCACTATTTCCAGTTTCTGACGGTTAGTTAGAAATAAGAGTCTCACTGACTTTTCTTGCCTGGGCTGACTTTGAACTTCGATCCTCAGATCTCAGCCTCCTGGGTAGCTTGGATTACAGGTGTGAGTCACTGGCACCTGGCCTCTGTGAGACTCTTATCTCCCATTAACCATCAGAAAACCCAAAAAACCAGAGGTGGTAATCTGGCTCAAGGTGGTAGAGCTCTAGACTTGAGCACAAAAGCTCAGGGAGAGCACCCAGGCCCTGAGTTCAAGCCCCACAACTGACAAAAAGAAAATAGTATATGATTGTCTTAGTCAACATTTATTTAGTTATAAGTGAAGTTGACCATCTATTTATATGTATATGCATATACATATTATTACTAGTTTGTAGTTCTCTATAAGCTTGACCATTTTTCTGTCGAGTCACTGGGTTTCTTCTTGAATAACACTGTGTTATAATTGAAATGTTCAAGGCTTTACTACTAAGAATGTTCAAAAACTATTTTTTTTTTTGTCGGTCGTGGGGCTTTGAACTCTGGGCCTGGGCATTGTCCCTCAGTTCTTCAGCTCAAGGCTAGTGTTCTACCACTTGAGCCACAGCACCACTTCTCGTTTTCTGGTGGTTTATTGGAGATAAGAGTCTCACAGACTTTCCTTCCTGGGCTGGCTTTGAACTGAAATCCTCAGATTTCAGCCTCCTGAGTAGCTAGGATTACAGGCACGAGTACCAGTGCCCAGCAGATTTCATTTTCTATTCTATTTATATTCCATATATATATATTTATATTCTATCATATTTTCCTACAGCCCATAAAGACCTACTGGATGGCCTATAATTTGCCAAAAACCATTAATATACCTTGTAAAGAAATAGTAAAAGATAGATTTATTGAAATACAGGAAAAAGAGAACAGACCTAAATACATAGAGTTATATAGGTGTATAGTTTAAAAAAAGGGGGGAGAGCTGGGAATGTGGCTTAGTGGTAGAGTGCTTGCCTAGCATGCACAAAGCCCTGAGTTTAATTCCTCAGCACCATATAAACAGAAAAAGCTGGAAGTGACACTGTAGCTCAGGTGATAGAGTGCTATCCTTGAGTAGAAAGAAGCCCAGGGACAGTACTCAGGCCCTGAGTTCAAGCCCCAGGACTGGCAACAAAGCACCCCAACAAACAAACAACCCCCTCCCAAGAATTCATGTTCTGGAGTTTGTATTTGAAGTGGTTCATTTGTGCACATATTATTTTCTCTGTTTGTGTCATATGAATCTTAGCACTAGAAACAGAGCAGGCACAATAATGGAAGGAACAGTAGCTGTTCCCTGTCAGGACTGCTTAATTCCTCACCCATCCAAAAGTTTGTTCATTTAGTCCTTGTTTCTACCTAACCTTATTAGATACTTAGGTGTTAGTATTATCCTGTCTGTGAATATAGTCCCCTCTTTTTTCCATAATTTGTCTCTGTGTTTGCTAGTCTGGATTGTCCCAGCTGCCTTTTGAATTCTTTGCTGTAAGTAATCAGTAATTATTTCTGTGATACCTTGAAAAATGAGGCAAGTCATGAAATTCCCAAGTTGTTTAATAAAAAATGGATCATACTTTTCCTGTTTGTTTTTTGTTGTTGTTGTTGTTTTGTTTGTTTTGGGTCCGGTCGTGGGGCCTGAACTCTGGGCCTGGGCGCTGTCTCTCAGCTCTTCAGCTCAAGGCTAGCGCTCTACCACTTGAGCCACAGTGCCACTTCCAGCTTTTTTCTTTTTGCTTATGTGGTGCTGAGGAATTGAACCTAGGGCCTCATGCATGCAAGGCAAGCGCTCTACCACTGAGCCACCTTCCCAGCCCCAACTTTTCCTGTTTTTTAGAAAGCATACTTAATAGAATTTTTTCTGATTATTTCCTTGTTTTTGAATATTAAGGATGAACTGCCTGAAATCCACAATTATTGAAAACCTGGAGGGAAATAAGCATATTGTCCACATGGATTTGCGGGACAATCAGCTGACTGACTTGGATCTTAGCTCCTTATGTAGTTTGGAGCAGCTGCATTGTGAGCGGAACCAGCTGAGGGAGCTGACACTCAGTGGCTTCTCTCTTCGAAATCTCTATGCCAATTCAAACAGTGAGTTCTCTATCCAACCTCTTGTCATTTCTTTCAACTCCAGTGTGAAACTTCTGAGAACAGTGGCATGTGTGGTCCTTCCTACCTGTTCTTCACAATGTTTATATCTAATGGAAGCATAGCTTTATTTTTTAACTTGGCTATCAACTCTTAAGTAGTTGAGATATGCCCAAAAAGACTTGGCAAAATACTTTGAGATTCACTAAATGAACATAGTAAAATCATTTGAGTGGGTAGACTTGTATGTTCAGACAGTATTGATAACAGGGTCAGGCAAAGTACTATTGCTGAGGAGCTAAATCTAAACTACCATCTTTTTTTCTTTGTATAGCCTGTAAAAATGGTTTTTTACATTTTTTGGTAGGTTAAAAAAATATTTTTGTGCCAGGCACCAGTTGGCTCATGCCTGTAATCCTAGCTACTCAGGAGGTTGAGATCTGAGGATCACAGTTCAAAGCCAGCCTGGGCAGGAAAGTCCCTGAGACTCTTATCTCCAATTAACCACCAAAACTAGAATGGCACTGTGGCTCAAGTGGTAGAGTACTTGCCTTGAGCTGAAGAGCAGAGGGCACCCGGACCCAGAGATCAAGCCCCATAACTGACAAAAAAATTATATATTAAATTATATATACATATATATTAAATTATATATTAAATTATATATTAAATTATATATTAAATTATATATTAAATTATATATTAAATTATATATACATATAATATAACATATATATTCACATTTATATGTGTGTGTGTGTGTGTAAATGCTGAGGCTGAGCTTGGTAGTTCATACCTGTAATCACAGCTAATCTTGAGGCAGAGAGTAGGAGATAACAGTTTGAGGCCAGCTTCTTAAGAACATAGTACTGTCTACCTGAGATACTAGGGACATATATTGGAAGATCTCAGTTTGAAGCTTACTCTGGGGCAAAAAGACATAACCCTATGTGAAATACACCTGAAAGCAAAATAAAGTTGGATGGCATGGCTCAAGTGGTAATGCCTGTCTGGCATGCACAAAACCCCGAGTTTACATCCAAGTGCCGTCAAAAAAAAAAAAGTTAACCTCTCTGCACGGTATTTTCACAATAAAACAAAATAGAGGAAGAAAAGAAATAAAAGTATTCAAGTTTCTACATTCACAAATAGTTTTTTTTTGAGAATAGGCACATGGTTAGATTTACATTTTTGCTTTTACACTGCTGTTTTTATGTTACAGTGAGAAAATTGAGTAGAAGTAAGAGACTGTATTATAGTCAATAGGCCTAAAATATTTAGTCTTTTATAGAAAGGTTTGCCGGAACCTTGTCCAGAAACACGTGCAGAAACATGTACCACCTCAGTTCAACTCTAAAGAAAATTCTCTCCGTTCAAATAATGTTTGGATCTGGGAATAAGTGTCAGTATAAAGGGTCTTGTATTTGTTGAGATCATTTTTCTTACAGAGACTTATGTAAATTTTAATTATGTTTTCTATGTTTGAAGAAGGAAAGCAATAAAATTCAGTTTTACTAAGTGACAGAAATAAAATGTAAAGTTAAGATATACCAACTTAAATGCATCAAATTTTAAAAAAAAAGAAAAAAGGTAATACTGAATATAAGCAGAGATGAGAAGAATTTTCTAGAGGCCTCAAACTTCCAGAGGGTTGACTGTAAAAATTCCTTCGAGGAATGTAACTGAGTTGGAGAAGTTGAAGGTCCATGTAATCCATGCTCTAGAAATGTCCTGCTTGGAATAATCCCTGAAATATATGTGCTGGAGGATGTATATTCAAGCATGTTTATCACAGTGTTGTTTGTATGATGGTGAAAGAATAGGAAAACAACAGGACTATTAATAAGGATAAATGGATAAATTAATAGTGATATATTTATACAATAGAACATTATACAACAGTGGAAATGAAATGGTACTGAAGTTTTGTATATTATTATAGACAATTTTGAACAAGAAAATGTGGTTACATGTATACTATGGCCATTGTACCACAATTGAAAAGACAGCATAAATATTGTTTCCTTAGCTATAAATGTCATAACTACATGTAAGAATCCATAGGAATAATAAAACTCATGCTCAGGATGACTACATCTTGGTACATGTAGGTTTTTTGGCTTTGTTTTTGGTGACAGGGCTTGAACTCAGGGCCTACATGCTTTCCTCAAGCTTCTTTTGCTCAAGGTTAATGCTCTACCATGTGAACCCTACTTCCAGCTTTTTTGGTAGTTTAGTAGAAATAGGAGTCTCACAGACTTTTCTGCCCAGGTTGGCTTTGAACTGTGATTCTCAAATCTCAGCCTCCTGAGTAGTTAGAATTATAGGCATGAGCCACCCTGTGCCCAGCTATATAGTACTTTCATCCTTAAAAAAAGTCAAGGTCTATCCATGCATTCTGTCCCTTGGCTTTAATTTTTTGCTACTAAGGCAATGCAAACAGGAGGATTGTGAATTCAATGCTAGCCAAAGCAAAGTTAATGGAGCCTTGTCTCAACAAAACAAAACAAAACTGGACATGTGAACCATACTTGTAATCCTAGCTACTTGTGATCCTGAGATCAGGAGAACTGCAGTTCGAGGCCAGCCTGAGCATACCCACAAGATCCCTTTGTCATCCATAGCTGGATGTGGTGGTATGTGCTTATCATCCTAGCTGCTGGGAAGCTGAGAATGGAAGGATTGCAGTCCTAAGCTAGCTTTGGCAGAAGTGTTTGTGAGACTCCTATCTCATTGAAAAGAAGCTGGATGAGGTGCCATAACAGGAAACTATAACAGGAAGCCTAAAATAGACAGCTGTGTCTAGACAGGAAGCAAGAGTCTGTCTCAAAACAGGCCAGTGCCAGAAAAGACTGGCCTGGCTCAGAAGTAGAGCACCTTCATAGCAAGTGTGAGTCCCTGAGTTCAAACCCTAGTATCATTGACCAAAGCAAACAGACAGAAAACAAGGCTGGGGATGTGGCCTAAATGATAGAGGGCTTGCTGAGCACTCATGAGGCTCTGGATTCAACCCCCAGAAGTGAAGGGAAAAAAAAAGTGACACATATAAAGTAGAATGCAGATTTGTTAAAATCTAGGTGATGACTGAGTATTCATTTTCTTTGGTTTTCTGTATTGTAGCATATATTATTCAGATAAAGAAAGTTAAGGGCTTCTATTTTCATTATGTTATAGAAACTTCAAATTGTGGCTTAGATTATGCTCTTGGATCAGATGAGGGTGTTGACTGGTGCTGTATATTGATCCTATGACATGGAGAGATCCCTTATCAGATCTATCTGTCTACTCCATGGGTTCACAGGCTCTGAATGCCTCAACACACTGAATGTGAGCTCATCAACACACAAGCAGATCTGAGTATCATAGCAGTATTCTGGACACTAGGGTTAGTTACTGTTTTCAGAAGCCTTGAATTATATAACCTGGAAGAATTCACATAAATAATTACAGTTTTGGTGCCTTAAAGTAAAGAACCCAGCTTCACAAAAGAAGTTATTCAGATGATCAGTGTACATAATTAGTGCAGGTAATCATCAGAAATAGGCAAATTGAAATCCCCATACTACTACAAACCTTTCAGAATGACTACAGTGACCAACTGAAAATACCAGTGGAATGTGTAGTAGTAAAACTGTTCAGAAATATCTACTAACACTGAATATGTACAGTGTTCTCAGCAGTTCCTCTTCTAGGCCCATACTCAATATAAGTGCTTATATTAGTTTATAAAGACATGGGCAAAATTAGTCACCCTGAACTGGAAAATGAAATTTTCATTAGTGTCAAACTAGGTAAATGAGTTGTGGTATATTCACATAAAAGAGTTTTTTTACACAGGCAGGAAAAAAATGAAGTTAACTATATGTAGCTAATGTGAACAAATCTCACAAGCATAATTTGAAGTGAATAAAGCTAGAAAAAATTATATATGGCATGGTGATGTACTGTTTTACCAGCACTTTGAAGGCTGAGAAGAGGATTCTAAGTTCTAGGACATCTGATCTATATAGTTATACCCTGTTTCATACTGTATGTATTATTTTACATACTATATTTATTACTGTACATATCCTATGTATTATTTTATATACTGTGTGTATCTATTTATATAAATAGACAAAAGCCATCTATCCATGGGATTCCAAGACAGAGTAATCACTGGTTTCCTTGAAGAGGGTGTGTTGAGTAGAAGAGGTGGTAAGGGGATGCATCTGGAGCTGGGGTTCATCTATTTTCTGATCTGGGTATTGGTTCCACTAGTATGTTCTGCTTGTGAAAATTTACTGATCTATACACTTAAGATTGCTTTAGTGGGCTGGGAAGTTGGCTCAGTGGTAGAGTGCTTGCCTCGCACACATGAGGCCCTAGGTTTGATTCCTCAGCACCACATAAACAGGAAAAACCAGAATGGTGCTGTGGCTCAAGTGGTAAAGCGCTAGCCTTGAGCTGAAGAGGGACAGCGCCCAGGCTCAGAGTTCAAGCCCCACGACTGACCCCCCCCCAAAAAAAAAAGATTGCTTTAGTATTTAAGTTATACTTTAGTTTTAAAAGTTACAATACTACTAGCAAAAATTCAGGTATTTCTTTCAAGATAAAAAAAAATCAGTAGTTACAGTTAGCGTTTAACAACTAGTTGATCTAGTATAAATCCAGCAGAGCACACATACTCCTTCAAGACAAGTTGGAATCAAGCAGGAATCAGAATGAGGTATTCAGTAGTTTCTATCTGTAGTCATTTCAAGTAAGAGGAATATCGGTGTTTTTTAAATATTTCATTAAGCTACTTTTACTTGTAGCTCACTTGCTTTCTTCAGAGAATGTTGCTAACACCTTTTTGTTTTTGATAGGACTGACAGCAGTGAATGTCTACCCAGTGCCCAATGTACTCACTTCCCTGGAACTCTCCAGGTGAGTATCTCATTAAAATGTGTTTGTTTGAGTCTAGTGGTTAAGGCACATGTAGATTCTTTGGCAGTTTTGTGTTATAATAAATCTAAACATACTGACATATTTGGCTAGCCTAGAGAAGGGCAAAAGGATGAATTGGAGACAAATGAGTTTAATAGCCACAGTGTGTAATTACATGAGAGATCTTCTTGAAATGGGAAGGTGTCTATAAATGGTTCCTTCTTTTTTTTTTTTTGTTGGGTCCGGTCCTGGGGCCTGACTCTGGACTTGGGTGCTGTCCCTCAGATCTTCAGCTCAAGGCTAGCGCTCTACCACTTGAGCCACAGCACCACTTCCAGCTTTTTTCTTTTTATGTGGTGCTGAGGAATCAAACCCAGGGCCTCAGGCATGCAAGGCAAGCGCTCTACCACTGAGCCACCTTCCTAGCTCCTATAAAATGGTTCCTTCAGTCTAAAATATTTTTTTTCCTCGATACTTTTATGACTCATAGTCTTGAGCCACTGTGCTTTACTCTCACCTTCTAATTTAATAACATTCTCAAGTGCTAACTGTATTCTAGGTAATATACCAGAGGATGCCTTGAGACAGTGTCCCTGCCCTCAAGGACTCACACGTTAGCTAACATGTGCATTGTAGTCTAGTGAAATGGGTTCCCCTTGTCTGTTATTCAGATTTCTGTAGCTATAATAAAATGCCTGAGATAAGCAATTGGAAGAAGGGATGGTTTATTTTGGCTCATGGGTTTTTGTTTATTTGGTTTTTTTGTTGGTTATGGGGCTTGAACTCAGGGCCTGACTGCTGGCCCTAGCTTTTCTGCTCAAGGCAGCACACTACCACTTTGAGTCATAGCCCTACTTCCAGTTTTCAGGTAGTTAATTGGAGGTAAGGGTTTCACAGCCTTTCCTGCTCTGGCTGGCTTCAAACCATGATCCTCGGATCTCAGCCTTCTAAGTAGCTAGAATTATAGGTGTGAGCCCCTAGCACCCGGCCTCATGGCTTTAGGCATTGAAGTCCATGGTTTCTTGGCCTTTTCACCTTGGGCCTGTGACTAGGTACATCATTGTAATATCATTCATATTGACACTACTCAATCTCATGGCAGCTGGGAAGCAAAGAGAGAGGAAGGAGTTAATAGTCCCAGTATCCCTCTTAAGGGCACACCCTCATGAGCTTAACTTCCTTCCTTTAGCTCCACCCCTTAACGATTCCATGGGCTGGTGACCAGGCCTGCAATACATGGCCCTAGAGAACATTTAGGACCTTAAATCATGCCTTTTGCTTACTTATTATCTGCAGAAACCTGCTAGAGTGTGTCCCTGACTGGGCCTGTGAAGCAAAGAAGCTAGAAATACTTGATGTGAGTTTTAATCTTCTCACAGAGGTTCCTATGAGGTATGTGTGTGTGAGTGCATATATTGTATACGTATGTGTGTATGTGCCTTCCTAGATTGGTTTTCCTTTTATTTTATTTATTTTTGTTGGTCGTAGGGCTTAAACTCTGGGCCCTGAGCGTTGTCCCTCAGCTCTTCAGCTCAAGGATAGTGCCCTGCTACTTGAGCCACAGCAGCACTTCTGGCCTTTTCTGTTTATGTGGTGCTGACAAATCGAACCCAGGGCCCCATGCACGCGAGGCAAGCACTCTACCACTGAGCCACCTTCCCAGCCCCTCCTTTTATTTTTTGTAGTGAATATTGAATTCCTTCTGAGTTTAAGACAGAGTAATGTACCATAAGGATTGGAGTGATGGCTAATGCATTGTCTTAGCCTAAAAGAAACTTAGAGGGTAGTGTGATATGTGCACAATAACTGATAAAAATGTATCAGAAGTTGCTGCATGGATGGTGATATGGTAATAATACTACTTCAGTAGAATAAGTTATATGTCCAAATAATTTCACTTTTATGATCAAACCTAATCCTTTATAAACCTTAGTATGTAGATGTCCTCTTCAGCTTAGGAATGAGGAAATGAAGAATAGGTAATGTATCCAAAGTGGTACTTAACCAGGAAGTAATGGGAGTTGCTGGCATTTGGATGTAGTCATTCTTGCTGTTAGAGCTTTGACTCTTAATCACAGCACTGTATAAATTGATTTGGAAATTTAGAAGAGCTTTGAATAATTAGAGAATGCTTCATAAAGGAGATGGCATTTGGGTTGACCTTTACCAGATGGAAGGATTTCTCTAAGTGGAGGAGGAGAATGGTGCTTAATGGGTTAGAGTGGAGTATTCTGTACTCAGAAGTGCTGATCGATATGTAGAATGTGTGATTATGGAGTCTTGAAAATTGAACTAGAGGCTTTGTAGCCTGTTATGGTTAAAAACAACCTCTGGAGTCATATCTTAATTCAAATCTAGACTGTATTTTTACTATTCAGTGTGAGATCTTTGGCAAATCAAAGTCACTTAATCTTTCTGAACTTCATCATAAATGGCTAGCACATTTTAAACATTCAGAAAATAGGTTTTAGTGTAATGAAGCTTTTATTACATTAAATTATTTTTACATTAAGTTATTACTATTCTAGACTGAGTTTAATATTAGTAGCTGTTATATAGATTTAATGTCTGTCTAGACTTAAAATTCTAAATGGACTTACTGTGGAAATTGCTTTAGTTTACATCTTCTATGCTGCTTGTCTCCATGAAGTCACCTTTTCTCAGAAGCATCTTCATGATTTTCCCGGTGGGTGGTAGGTAACACATGGACATGACTGCTTTTTTGGCTCAGCTCAGGCACTTGTCAGTGATTGTATGGTCTAAAAAAATGTTTCTTCTATTAGTTGACTGATTTTAGCTAAGTAGCCTAGACCAGATTTAGAATGATTTAAGTAAGCTTTTGTTTCTTTGTACTATTTCCCCTTAGAATTCTGAGTAGCTTGAGTCTTCGGAAACTGATGGTGGGACACAATCACATCCAAGTGCTTCCAGCCCTGGTAGAGCATATCCCCCTGGAGGTGCTGGATGTCCAGCATAACCTTCTTTCCAGGCTGCCAGACACTCTCTTCTCGAAGGCCTTAAAGTGAGTACTACATATTCTTTTCTCCCAAGAGTAGAATCACTGGCTAAGAAAACTGCATTGATTTGTCACTAGAGTGATCTTTGGAACTCTGTTTACAGAGTTCAGATGATGCTGTGTGGAAACCTCAAATTTTTATGACAAAAATATGGCACTGTTTCATGAGGTAGTAGTTGTCAAAGTTGAAATATCCATTAAGTTCCTAAAAAATTTTTGTGTTGTAGAAAGTTTCAAACAAGTTGGTTTTAGCTTATAAAATGAATACAGTTGTGATGTTTATTATAACATTCCTTGGAACTGTTTCAGTTTTGCATTGGGGAGGGAAGGGCTTATCACTAAATTCAATTTAATTCCAGCTTTACCAGATTATCTTTGAGTTATGTTCTTTGTTTTCGGAGTTTTTTTTGCTACCTACTTTGAAAACTGCATTTAAGGGTAAAATGCTTCCAAAATGTATTAGTTGCTATCTCATTGTAAATTTGTAAATGGTGTATCTTCCTATTTTAAGACCTGTAATCAGCCGGGCACTGGTGGCTCACTCCTGTAATCCTAGCTACTCAGGAGGCTGAGGTCTGAGGATGGAGGTTCAAAGCCAGCCCAGGCAGGAAACTTCGTGAGACTCTTATCTCCAATAAACCACTAGAAAACCAGAAGTGGCGTTGTGGCTCAAGCAGTAGAGCACTCGCCTTGAGCTGAAGAGCTTAGGGATAGTGCCCAAGCCCAGAGTTCAAGTCCCCACGACCAACCAAAAAAAAAGACCTGTAATCAGGTTTAACTAATGTATATGTCTCCTTCAAATGAAAACTATGTATTGTGTATTTGTGTTTTGCTGGTAATTAAATTCAGGCTCCCATACAGATCCATGAAATTTTATTTTTATTTTATTACCTTTAGTAATAATAATATATTTTATTTCCTTTAGTAAACTAGCTTTTGATGGTAATATTCTACAATATAGAGAAGACAATATCATCATTTTAGAAATAAAGAAAACAAGCTGGGCATTAGTGGCTCACACCTGTATAATCCTAGCTACTCAGGAGGCTGAGATCTGAGGATTGTAGTTCAAAGCCATCCTGGGCAGGAAAGTCCTTGAGACTCTTACCTCCAGTTAACCACTAGAAAACCAGAAGTGATTCTGTAGCACAAGTGCTAGCTTTGAGCTGAAGAGCTGAGGGGCAACACCCAGCTCCAGTGTTCAAGCCCCACGACTGCAAAAAAAAAAAAAAAAAAAACCCAGAAAGAAACAAAGATAATCACGAGTATATTTTTCTCTGTTCTATAACTTATCCTCTTAGTTTTAACATTTGGATGAGTATTTGTTAAAATCTTTAGAAATTGGAATTTTTTGCTTTTTTTGCTGGTACTGTGGTTTGGATGAATGACTTTGTTATGTATTTGTTAGCAATACCTAAGTGCATTTAGTGCTTATGACATTATTAATCAATTTGGCTTGCAATCATAAAATGTGTAGTTGAGGAAGTTACTTAACTGAAGCAGTCAACTAAAATTTTTTTTTGGGGTGCTAGTCCTGGGGCTTAAACTCAGGGCCTGGGCACTATCCTTTAACTCTTTTGCTCAAGATTAGCACTCTACCACTCGAGCCACTGCTTTACTTTTGGCTTTTCTGGTTGGGATAGAACTTTCCTACCTGGGCTGGCTTTAAACCTAAATTCTTACATCTGAGCCTTCTGAGTAGTTAGCATTGCAGGTGTGAGCCACCAGTGCCTGGTCAACTAAGTTAATACTAGCTAACTAATTTAATACTAACTCTGTCTAGAGCAGTTTTGGAGCAAAGACACAATGGGCACACCTTACCTACAATAATAACAAAAGTAATTAGGAATGTTGATCATACAACATGAAGAGGATTTAAGAAAACACAAGTTTAATAGTATTAGATACCTTTAATTGAGAATAACCTATGTGCACCCAACATTCTTGGCAGCTTTAAAAATCATAATCATATTTTATGTCTTAGATTGGCAAAGAGTAAATTCAATTATAATACTCACCATTTACTAAATGTATTAATAGCATTCTTCTTGTAGAAGAAGTACAGTTTGGTGTAGCCTTTGTAAAACTCAATTTGGCAAAATACTCAAAACACTTTTTAAAAGTATATATCCTTTGATCTCATAAATTCTGTTTCTAGGATTGTACCTTATAGATATAATTAAGTCATGATTCAAATGTATTCATTATAATGTCTATAATAGTGTATGTATGGAAATGTCAATAGCCCAAATATCCATCATTATTAAGAAATTTTTATGAGATGTGCTAAGTAAATAATCATGCTATTAAACCATAAAATTTCTTTTTTCTGTTCTGTTCTGTTCTTTTTTTTTTTTCTCTTTCTTTGGTGTTGAGGGTAGAACTCAGGGCCTGTGCATGTTAGGCAAGCATCTACCATGGAGTTATACCCTAACCCTTGTTTTAGGGGAGGTTAGATTGTCATTCTGGCATTTGAACTATAGGACTACTTACCAGGTAGTCACTCTACCACTTAAGCCATGCCCCAGCCTTTTTTGCTTTAATTTTGTTTGTTTGTTTTTTTTGGGTCCGGTCATGGGGCCTGAACTCTGGGCCTGGGCACTGTCCCTCAGCTCTTCAGCTCAAGGCTAGCGCTCTACCACTTGAGCCACAGCGCCACTTCTGGCTTTTTTCTTTTTGCTTATGTGGTGCTGAGGAATCAAACCCAGGGCCTCAGGCATGCAAGGCAAGCGCTCTACCACTGAGCCACCTTCCCAGCCCAAGCTTTAGTTAATTTTGAAATAGGGTCTCCTCTTTTCACCTGTGCTAGCCTGGATTGTACGCCTCCTATTTATATTTCCTGTGTAGCTGTGATGACAGACCTGATTCACCATGCTCGGCTTTATTTTTCAAGTGAGGTCTTGCTAACTTTTCCTGGGCTGGCATTGAACTGTGAGTCCCCTGATCTCTGTCTCCTGAGTAAGCTGGGAGCCACCATGCCTAGACTAGCTATTGCTTTTTTTTTTTTTTTTTTGGTCCTGGGACTTGAACTCTGGGCCTGGACCTTCAGCTCTTCAGCCTAAGGCAAACTGTTCAATGCCAGCTCAATGTTCAGTGTGGCTCTACCGCTTAAGCCACAGTGGCACTACCGGTTTTCTAGTGGTTTATTGGAGATAATAGTCTCACAGATTTTCCTGCCCAGGCTGGCTTTGAACCGTGATCCTCAGATCTCAGCCTCCTGAGTAGCTAGGATTACAGGCGTGAGCCGCCGGCACCCAGCTAGCTATTGTTTTTTTGAGACAGTGTCACTTGGCTCAGGCTGGTCTTGAACTCATTATGTAGCCCGGGTTGACCTTAAACTCAAGATCTTGAGTGCTGGGATTATAGGTATATACCACTGTGCCCAGCTCAGACAAAAAATTTTTTCTGGAGAATATCTTCATAGTTGAGATATATGTCAGTGTGGTACTCAACAATCCTTTCAGTGAAAATACAGATGAAACCTGGTTAGAATTCAACCACTGAAAAAGGCTGAGAAAAGAAGACATACCTAAATGCTTTCTTCTATTTGGCTTGCATGAACTGAGTCAAGAGAACTTTGCATTGGATAGACTCAGAGAAAATGAACTGGAGGAAATTATTCTTTTGAGTGTGTGAGCTTAGGATGGCAGCATTCCACACAAAGAGCATGGGTACCATGGGGTCTACATCATAAGAAAGCAACAAATAAACACAAAAGAGATGATGATCTATGTGTTCTGTCAGTCTCAGATACTTGAATGCATCTGCAAATAATCTGGAGTCTTTGCCTTCTGCTTGTGCTGGGGAGGAGAGTCTGAGTGTGCTGCAGCTCCTGTATCTGACCAGCAACCTCCTGACAGACCAGTGCATTCCTGTCCTGGTTGGGCACCCACACCTGCGAATCTTGCACCTTGCAAACAACCAACTACAGACATTTCCTGCAAGGTGAATGAATGTAAAGTGTGACCACTTGAGAACATAATGTTAATTCTGCATTTGTCAGACTGAATTATACTTTCTTTATGTCAACTGACTTACTGGTGCTGTGATTTCACTAATCCAGTGGGAAAATCTCATTTGTTTTTTCTTGAGACAGTGTCTTGCCAATGAAGCTCAGTCTAACCTTGTGATCCCTCTACCTCAGCTTCTCTAGTGCCAGTATTATATGTTAGCATGCCCAACTTGGGAGCTCTCACCTTAATTGTTTGTACCCAGTTGTTAAGTATCAGTAACCAGAGAAATTGTGGTTCAAATGTATTTCATTTTTAGATTTAATTATTCAAAAATTTCTGAAAATGTTTCCTAGAAAAGTACAGTGTTATGAAGTAATTTAAAGAATTTCTAAAGATAGGATTTTTTTTCTCTTATTAATATTGCATTGTAGAGTATGTTTAGGTATTATTAGGAGTCTTACCCAATTTTGATGATACTTTTACTATTGGAAGAATCAAAGACAGGCTGATATAAAATTGCCAATACATCACAGAAAGTGAAAATAAGAAGTTAGTCATGGGCTGGGAAGGTAGCTCAGTGGTAGAGTGCTTACCTTGCATGCATGAAGCCCTGGGTTCGATTCCTCAGCATCACATCACACAAAAAGCTGGAAATGGTGCTCTGGCTCAAGTGGTAGAGCACTAGCCTTGAGCTGAAGAGCTGAGGGATAGCGCCAAGCCCAGAGTTCAAGCCCCATGATCGACAAAAAAAAAAAAAGACTATGTATTCCATACCAAATAATAGTTTCCTACACAATGTTAAAATTGAACTTATTTCTTTTGGATTGTTTTCAGAATCAAGCACAGTTTGAGTACTCAGTTAGATGCTGATTGAGATATGGATATGCATTTCTATTTAACAGACAGTGTAGAGAGAGATGCATTTCTATTTAACTGATAGTGTAGGAGAAGAGGATACAAGTTGACTATGTAGACATTATGTATAAATACCTTAATAAGTTAAAGTAAATTATAAAACAATATATTTTAATATAGAACTATTTTGAGGGGTGAGGCTTGAGATGGGGTCTAGTTGTATAACCCAGGCTTGCCTATAAATGTGCTTCAGTCTTCCAGAAGCTGGAATTATGAGTGTCATCACTTTTTTTTTTTTTTTTGGCCAGTCCTGGGGCTTGAACTCAGGGCCTGGGCACTATCCCTGAGCTTATTTTGCTCACGGCTAGCACTCTACCATTTGAGCCACAGCCCCACCTCCGGCTTTTTCTGTTATGTGGTACTGAGGATTAAACCCAAGGCTTCATGAATGCTAGGCAAGTACTCTACCACTAATCCACATCCCCAGCCATCATCACTTTTTAAAAATTTGAAACATACTATCTACTAAAATGTCTTCAGAGATTATCTTTGGTATTTAATTAAAAGAATTTTATATTCTGTTTCCAGTTTCTTTCATTTAATATATATTTTAAGAACTTTCTAAGCTTAGTTTTTAAAAGTATGAATTTTATAGGAATAGAATTTTTATTATTTTTTTTGTCAGTCATAGGGCCTGAACTGGGCCTGGGCACTGTTCCTCAGCTCTTCGGCTCAAGGCTAGCGCTCTACCACTTGAGCCACAGTGCCACTTCCGGCTTTTTCTGCTTATATAGTGCTGAGGAATCGAGCCTAGGGCCTCCTGAATGCAAGGCAAGCACTCTACCACTGAGCCACCTTTCCAGCCCTAGAAATTATTTTTGATATGAGATAAGTCACTTGTAAAATTTATGTAAGACAAATATTCATTAGAGAAATTTGGTAGGAAATTTAGCAAAATTATCATAATTCCTTCAAGTTGCTACTATTATTAATAAGTTATTTTTCAAAATTGTTCTTCATTATTGTTAAATGTCTTGTTAATTTTTTCTTTTTCTTTTGTCTTTTTTTTTTTTTTTGCCAATCCTGGGACTTGAACTCAGGGCCTGGGCACTGTCCCTGAGCTTCTTTGGCTCAAGGCTAGCACTCTACCACTTGAGCCACAGCACTACTTCTGGCCTTCTGTTTATGTGGTACTGAGGAATTAAACCTAGGGCTTCATGCATGCTAGGCAAGCACTCTACCACTAAGCCACATTCCCAGCATTTTTTGATATTTTTTAAACCAGTAAATGAGACCCCAAAGTGGTGCTGTATGTATAATAAGAATTAGATGAGCGGGCTGGGAATGTAGCTCAGAGGTAGCGTGCTTGCCTTGCTTGCATGAGGCCCTGGGTTCAATTCCTCAGTACCACATAAGCAGAAAAAGCTGGAAGTGGCGCTGTGGCTCAACTGGTAGAACACTAGCCTTGAGCTGAAGAGCTGAGGAATAGGACACAGGCCCAGAGTTTAGGCCCCAGGACCAGTAAAAAAAAAAAAAAAAAGAATTAGATGAGTACTTAGTGAAGATGAATTGTTATGCTCAACGGTAGGAATTTAAAACTGAAATGAATCTTAGTGATGATTTAATACAACTTGCTCATTTTATGGCTGAGAGAGTCAAGGTCCACTGACTTTTGCTTATCCAGTATTTGGCAACTAGTTACTGGCAAAGCAAGGACCTGAACTAATCTTGTAACAGTAAGTCAGTGCTTTTTGAGTCATATCCTAAAATCGGGTAACAAGAAGATGTTCATGCCCATAGCTGTAAGGAAAGGAAGGGCAGTGCCAGCCTGGAAACATGCAGAGAGGCAGGTGAGGCTGAAATCTAGCAACTCAATCACATTGGTGAACCACTACATGGCTGTTATTACCTCTGCAATGAACCAATTTGGCCATCTGTACTCTGTGGCTTCTGTAAAATCGCACTCACTGGGCTGATGCTCTTTTTCAGCAAATTAAATAAATTGGAGCAATTGGAAGAACTGAATGTAAGTGGCAACAAGCTTAAAACCATTCCCACAACCATAGCAAACTGCAAAAGACTGCACACCCTTGTTGCACACTCCAACAACATCAGCATTTTCCCAGAAATACTGCAGTTGCCTCAGATCCAGGTATGGATTTCTTTTTGAATTGAGGGGCAGGGGATACTGCGGTTTGAATATAGGGCCTCACAGAGCCACATTCCAAGCTCTTTTTTGCTTTTGGGATAGGGCCGCATAGTTTTTTTTTATCTAGTCTTGATCTTGGACTGTGAACTTCCTATATGCCTCCCACATAGCTGGAATTACAGACTTGTTTGTTGAATTGAGTGTCTTTCTTCCATTTTGCCTGGGCTGACTTTGAACTGTGATTCTCCTGATTTCTACCTCTAAAGTGGCTGAGATTACTACCCGGCCTCCACGCATGTACTTTTATGTATTGGCATGCAATCTTTATGAGGGAATGACAGGATTCTAAGATGCCTCTTTTATAAGGAAGAAGAGAAACAAAGGAGTGCAAATGAGACTATTCTCTTCCTTATAGGAAGAGATACTGTTTTCTTACCAGTTTAGGGTCAGGGCATATAGAATTCATTCCTGGGAAGAAATTTAAATTCTCCTTTAAGGATTAAATGGATGGTTAAGTGATTGGTAGTAGAGAATGAACTATACTGTGTTTTATTTATCTCTCTTCAGTTTGTAGACCTAAGTTGCAATGACTTGACAGAAATACTAATCCCAGAGGTTCTGCCTGCTACATTACAAGACCTTGACCTGACTGGAAATACAAATCTGGTTCTGGAACACAAGACTTTGGATATGTTTAGGTAGGAAAAAAAATTTTAATCCATGTGTATCCTGAGGCCTATCAACCAACTGTGAGTCTACTTCAGGACTGAAGATCTCAACTAATTAGAAGATTAGAATGTATCTAGAGGGGCTGGGATCGTGGCTCAGTGGTAGAGTGCTTACCTTGCATGCCTGAGGCCCTGGGTTCGATTCCTCAGCACCACATAAGCAAAAAGAAAAAAAAAGCTGGAAGTGGCACTGTGGCTCAAGTG